GAGTTACAAAGCAAGACTGTATTCCAGAGCCAGGCTCTTCCCAGGTCACCGGGATGGATCACACTTGTCAAATCACTGGAGGTTCTCCAAAAAACACACAACCCAAGGGCGGAGGCAGACAAGATGTTTCCAGGGTTTCGTCCGGGGCTTCAGAAACGCACATCCCAGCCCCCATGGACCACCCGCCCCGCGCCGCCCGCCGAGAGACGGTTCAGAGCGGAGGGCGGCGAACTTTATCTGCAAAGGGCCAGACGCTGATCGTTCAGGCGTTGCGCTCCACGCTGTCTTGTCACAGGGAAAATGTGGCCCACGCACCCCACGGGCCAAAGAGCGTGGCGGCGTTCCAACGCGACGTGATGAGCATGAAATCTGAATTTTGTGTGATTATCACATGTCATGAAATAGTACTCTTGCGATTTTTTTTTTCATCCATTAAAACACTGTAGGCCCTGGCTGGGTGGCTCGGGGGGCTGGAGCATCGTCCAGGACACCGAAAGGTTTGGGGTTCGATCCCTAGTCGGGGCGCATGCGAGAGGCAGCCAGTGGATGTTTCTCTCTTATAATGATGTCTCTCTCCCCCCGCCCTTCCTCTCGCTCTAAAGTCAATAAAAAGAACATATCATCAGGTAAAGATTAAAAATAAAACAAAACAAAAATAAAATAAAATGAAGTAAAACTAAAATCCCATGGGATGGCCTCGGGAACAGCAGGGAACAGCTGGAACCTCCCCAGACCCCTGCCCCGAACGCAACACCCTTCCCAGGTTTCTGCGGAAAACAAAATCCAACCCTTCACATTCTGCTGATGGGCACTCCATAGAATACTTATGATGAAGGCAAATAACATAGGATATTCAGTTCTGGTTACTGGCATTTTCATTTTCTGGGTAAATGTGCCAACCACCTCTCCTCCAAATATACAAGGCACCCCCCCCCCCCGCAACACGTAACTGTGGGAAATGTAATTTACATTCAATTTGCTAATAAAACTGCAATGTTAACCTGAAAAAAATCACTCCCCACCCCCAATCCCTGCTTTCAAATGCATTTTTATCTCAAATTCCAAGTGATACCCTACAGGACATTCACTTCAGGGGGGAAAAGTCACCAGGCATAAGAAACGCATGGCTTGTACCATGTCCTTCAGATAGGACAAAAATCTCAATCGATTTGGTTGGAACATCTATGCTAGCCCCCGACTTAAAAAATAATACTGCGCAGATGTATGAGTTCGTGTATCAAGCAATCGAGGTAGCAAGGAGAAAGAATGTCTTAGCTTCACCCGTTTTCTAATACATCTAAGAGAAAACACAAATCATGGATTTTGCAAAGTGCATTTTTATCTTTGTCTCTAATGAGAAAATGAAACAAGACACATGCATGGCCTCCCTAGGGGTTCTCGTAATTTACAGAGAATATGCTTCTCAGAAGTGTTTACCCATAAATGTCTGGGTCCCTTGCGGCCGCTCGTTTTTCTCATTAATGCATTAAGAGAGAAAGGGGAGAAGTTACGCCCCTAAAACTGTGTTACAGTCCCACATTCCCTACTGTCGCTGGGGCCCGTGACAGAGGTTGACAGGCGCTGATACGTAAGGACAGAAACAAGGTCAATTTAACATAAGCCCACGACGTCATCACCATCTAGTGTCATCGCTCTATGGTTACTTTGGGGAGAAAAGAAGAAAAAGAGGGAAGACGGAACGGTCCCCTAGACTCTCGGGATGGAGAAGAGGCGCCTGGAGTCCACGGGGGAAAGACTCCGGCGGTTAGCCTGGGTCCAGGCACAGCCAGACGGGGTGACCGCAGCTCCTGCCTCAACAATACCTAATGCAGGTCGCGGAGCGGTAACGCTGGCGGAGTTACCATCGGTAACATTTTTTTCCGTCAGGTACCGCATTTCGCAGGCAACCACAATGCCGTCTGTGAGGGATCGGCATGGAGCCCCGGCCGGTGCGGCTCGGCGGGTTGCAGCGCCTTCCTGTACCCAGAAAGGCTGGGGCTTCGATTCCCAGTCAGGGCACAGGCCCAGGTCGCCGGTTTGCTACCTGGTCAGGGCGCCAATGAGAGGCAACCAGTCAGTGTTTTTCCCTCTCTCTTCACCCCCACCTAAAATCAAGAAACATATATTTAAAAGGTATTTATGTGTATCTCTAATAACTCCAGCTGTACCCCAACAGATTTTAAAAATGTACTGAATATGCACTTGGGGACACTTGCGCACCAGCCTCTAATGCTGCAGGAAAGAGTTACATTTTGTTTGTAATGTGCACTCTTCTCCTTTTAGCTTGTCCTCCCTCTTCCCTGCTGGTCTCCACGCGCTCCCCGCACGATGCAGAGCCTCTGCGTTTACGGCTCTTCGTTCTCTGGAGAGGAAGGGGCTGGTCCCTCGGAGGCCGTGAGGCGGCGGGAAGGAAGCGCCCGCGAACCCCGAGGGCCTCGGTGACTTTCACTTGCCTGTCACTGAGAGGGACCATCTGTTCATCGTAGTCCTGGCCCCTTATTTGTACAAGACCTACTTCGTCAACTTTGTCTGAAATACAAAGTTAAGTGGACTACTTAAAAATTTTCAGAGCTGGGAAATATGCACGCACGCGCGCGCACACACACTATATCGAGATGCAAATCCCACAGCCTACAACCTGCCCACTAAGCGCGCGGTGCAGTGGTGTGTCGTATATTCACAGGGTTGTGCAAACCATCGCTGCCATCCATTTGGGAGTGGAGACACAGCGTCTAAGTCCTCTAATCTATCGCAAAGAGAGAAGCCAAGGTCCAGATGGGTTAAGTCCCATCCCCAAGATCGCGGGGCTGGCCGGTGGCAGAGCCGGGCTGGACGCCCGGGAATTAGGAAGACTCTGACCTCATCCGGGATCCCGCCCCGGTTCCCCTGCCCAGGAAAAGTGCGACACAAATTAAAACCTGCTGTCGAAATGTCCTGCGCCCTCTTAGCGTAGTAAACCCAGCCTAATTCCTCCCCCAAATCCGTCACACGGCAAGAGTTCTTAGAAAGGCTTCTAGACGTTGACCACAACATGGGCATTGTCAAGACCAGAGAGGATCTGCGGTATCTTTCTTTTCAGATAAAAGTCACAGAAGATTTCAGCTCCTGCAAAAACAGGCTAAATGAGACCCTCTGCTCACTCCGTTTCTATCGAACGGATTGCGGGTGGTTGAACCAAACCACCTCACCGCTAGCGCGGCACGTTTCCAACGCCGGCCAGTAGCTTCCTGAGATGTTCACCGTTGGCCATGCGGGTCGGTGGTCAGAGACTAGCCTGAATTATCCAAGAGCCCACGTCCTGGTCGTCGCGGAGGTTTGCGCCCCTGACGTCCATACGCAGTAAAAGAGGAGGCTGGTTCCCTGCCCGTGGGAAGGCGGCCAGTGCGACCGGAGGAGCCGGCAACACCCTGGCACCCACCTGCCCGGGCCCCCTCTACCCGGGCACCCATGACGCCCCCCCCATTCCCCCACCAGCCCCGCCTTTGCGGCCCCTCCACGCCGAAAGTTCCGTTCATTCCGTGTGCACATGCGCCTACCGAGCGGCCACGCGTACCAAGTGCTGAGCTACACGGGTCCCCAAATGTGGGCGCTCCCTAGAGTCTATGTGCAGCTCACGGTGCATTTTCTCACTTCCATTTGCACCCGTATTTTTAAACCTGCCTTTAGGCTGGAAAGGCCAAACCGTCTGCAGCCCCAGTCTTAGCCTCATGCCTTGTGCCCCAGGTCAGGACACACGCCTGCCAGGGACATGTGAATGCGCCACAGACCCCTCCAAGTGCCAGCAGGGAGGGCCCCCCCCCCCCCGGCTGCCCCCGGTCTCCTCGCTCCACCTGGCCCGTCCTTCAGGGCTTCTAATCTCCCTGAAGAGCGCTCCGTTTTCGCGCAGGACCCGAGGCTGGAAACCGGTTGTCTTCACGGAAGGGGAGCGCGTGAGGGAAGAGCAGCACCTGCCAGCCCGGGACTGAAACCAGGAGAGAGTCCTCTGGTTCCAGCTGCTTTTCAGGGATCAGTTTGTGGGAGGCGCAGGATGAGACCTCAGAAGTGTAGATTCGGAATGAAGTCTGTCCACTTGGTTTGAGCGAACTGGCAGGGGTGGGGGGGCCGGGGCGCGTCTTGGGGGAGGGAGGGAGGGTCGGAGCCACCGATCCAAGGAGCAGGTGTTCAACGGATTTTACAAGGCGCGCTCTGCCGTGGCTGGAAGAGGCTGCAGCGTGGGAACACAAACTGGCTTGTCAGCACGCCCCAATTTCGCACCTCCCGGCCTGTTCGCCTTCTTCCTGGCTCAGAAGACCCGTCCTCCCCCACCCCAGCCCCAACCCCCCCTCCCACAAATTGCTCCTCGCACTAAATTCTCCAATGACGTCTCCCCCGCCGGGGAGCTCCGTCCCCGCCCCCGCGGGGTGGTCTGCGGTCCTGCGCGGAGGTGTGTCTCAGTTTGTTTACGTGTCTGTCTCGGTGTCTCTCCGACCCCTGATCAGCAGCCCTTTGGGAGCGGGAGCCCGGTGCCCATCTCCGGGCGCCCCGGGGAGACGGTGGAGGAGGGAGGACCGTGGTGGGGAGCCTCGGCTCGGGGCGGGGCGCACTCCAGCGGGACCATCGCGAGGGGCGCGTGCGCGCGCGCGGGGAGCCCCGGAGACCTAGGACACCGCGTCCGCGGACGCCCGCGCGTGGACTGCACGGCCTGAGTCCTCCTCCCAGCCGCGGGCGCGAGAGGCACGGGCGGGGTCTCCGGCCGCCCACCCTCTCCCGCGCGGAGACCCTGCGGCCCGCCACCGCCTTTGCCCCCACACAGACCCGCGGAATTCCAGCAGCTCTGACTGGAGCGCGGGCGGGGGCTGGGGAGGAGCGAGCCGGCGGCCCTCACTCCACCCCCGCGCGCGCTCTTAGGCGGGAAGATGTGGAGCCTAAGAGAGGCGCCTAGGGGCTCCAGAGCCCTAAAGGCCCCGGGGCCTCGGCGACCCGGCTCCCCAGTCCCCGGCTCCCTGCTTGGCGCCCCCTACCTGGCTGGCTTTGTGGAACTGCTTCTTCAGGCCCGCCACCGACATCGCGGCTGTGCCCGGCCGGGGCTGGGTGGTCTCTGGGCTCGGCCGGGCCGCGCGGCCGCGACGCGCTGGGGAAGCGGGCACCCGGGCCAGTCCCCGCGCGCTGGGGTCCGCCGGGCCCGCCTCCCACGGCCACGGCCACAGCCACGGCCTCAGCCGCTGTCACACACGCACACACGCGCACGCAGCTGGCAACACCGCGTACCAAAGCCCCCGCGCAGCCCATTGGCGGAGCCGCGGCGTATGCAAATGAGGCCTCTGGGGCCGCCCACGCACATTGTTGCGTGGAGACCCGGAGGACCCCCAGTGGCTGGGAAGACCCGCCTGGGAAGCTGATCGTGGCGAGGTCTGGATGCAGGGAGCTAAGCCACACTGCGCTTCTGGCTGCGCGCAAAAGGAGAGGTATCTGGCTTTTCGATGGCTCTGCGAGGGGAGACAGGCACCACCTCTCTGTGTTTCTGGGACGTGTGCGTAACCTGCTTTCACTCACAGGCAACATCGCCTCCCTCCGGCGCAATTGGGTAGGTTTATGTTTTCAGATAGGGGCTCCCCAAAATGCGCCTAGGAAAGGAAGACAGCAGGACGAGGGACCTGCCGTAGGAGGAAGAGGCCTGTGGGCAGCTGGGCCATTTCTTCTCTCCCCACACGGTGTCCTGGGTACAGTCTTCCCAAACAATGCTGGTCCTCCAGGAACCTGAGTAACTGAGAAATTGACTGATGAATATGGCGCTCGCCTCCCTAGAGCGCTGAACCCACTGTCACCTGCGTTAGAGCAACTGTCTCCAAGGAGCCATGAACAGCTCGCTCAGTCCCCAGGGAATTCACCAGACGGCAGACCCAGCTCCCTTGGAGTGTCGCTTACAGCGTCATTTTGCACAGGGGCCAGAAGTCTGCGCGCCCACCGCCGAGGCCCGGCCAGGGGCCTGGAGCATCCCAGTTCGTCCTCACGTCCAAGCGGCTCCCAGGAGGTCAGATCGTTGCCCAATCTGACCGCAAAGGCCCCGAGGGCTCCCAAGACCTACAACGCACTCAGCAACGCTTGGCACGGAAACGCCTCATCCTCCTCCACGCTGCGCCTACAAAGAGAAGCCCCCCTGTGTGGGCGCTCGGCCTATCTGTCCAGACAGACCAAGAGCTCGCGTGGGCCCTGGACGCCCGGTTCACCGCCTGTTCCCTGGCGTGCGCTCCCGGCCGCCCGCGCTTCTCCAGAACAAAAGTTGCCCCCCCTCCTTTGTCATTAGCTCCCAACTCTCTTGTCCCTGACCGCGTCCCAGTGAGGACTGGGCTGGTAACTCCACCTTCCAGTGCCTGTTTCCTCTCCTTCCCTTAGGAACATTCATCCTCTGATACAGGAGAAAAATGAATGAATTTGGTGGAGGGCATAGAGCCAGCCACCGGGAGGGTCCCTGAGGACGAGCTGGCCCACGCTGTGGCCTTGGCCCCGTTGCAGGCTCTGCCCTCCCCCCAAAGAGGCAGAGGAAGCTGGATGCGGGGCTGGGGGCGATATTTTAAGCAACTTCTTGGCATTTCTTCATGGTTAATAGTATATTCAAGTTTCCCTCTTCAGTTAATGTTGGTGATTTATCTCTCCATTTAGTCAAGTGTAAATGTGCACTTCATATTCTCATAGTTTTCAACCCTCATAATATTGCAAAGACGTTTTGCCCTTTGTAAAAGTAGTTGTGATTTTTAAAAATTATCTAAAATGGACAGCAACACAAATGGTCAGCGATGCTTATTTGGGGGCTCCTTCACTTCAGTGTGTGGTTTATTTTTCTTCTTCCTTGTTTTATAATCGACACGTATGAAAACATAAGTTTACCTCCTGCATACAGTTTTGATTTCACGCCTTGTTTTCATTAGGTAGTGTAGTTCTTATTATTTTCTTAATAAACTTGTCATTGCAGTTTTAATTTCCTCTTTGACCCAAATGTTATTTGGGACAATTTTCTCAGGCCCTGGCCGGGTAGCTCTGTTGATTAGAGCATTGTCCCGATACAACCAAGGTTGCAGGTTCGATCCCCGGTCAGGGCACATACAAGAAGCAACCAGGATGCATTAGTAGGTGCAATGACAAAATGATGTTCTCCCTCTCCCTTCCTCTCTCCCTAAAATCAATCAATCAATTAAAAATCTTCTTTCAGTGTTTTGATTTCTTCTATTCATTGTATATTAAATTCTAGGCTTATAGTACTATTGTCAAATAACATGTCTTGAATTTTTTTTAATAGGAAGACCATCTTTGTTTACTTGGAGAACAGCCAGCACATTAACGCCTCTGACCCACTGAGTTCCAATGTGTCCTCGCCCCGACCCCTGACCCCCGGCCCCCGACCCCCGGCCCCCGGCCCCCGGCCCCACGCACCGCACCCAGAGAGTGCCCTGAAGTCTGAATGTCTTGGCAGTTCTTAATTCTTGAAATAACATGCTTAATATTAAAACTATTTTTTAATCCTTAGACATATGTCATACTAACCCTTAGAGCAACACATAACTACCAGTTTGGGTTTTTTTTTGTTTTTGTTTTTGTGTTTTGGTAAAGGTGTTCTCCGAGCTAGTTGTTTTTGTGAAAATAACATGAACATATTTCCACTGATTCCTTTTTCGTTCTTAAGTCTTTATTTTTTTTTAAATTTTTTCAATTACAATTTACATGTATGTTATTTTCTATTATTTTCAGGCACACATCATAGCTGTTTGACAATCAGGTACTTTACATAGTGCCCCTCCTGCTGTTTCCAGGCCCGCCTGGCCTGCCACAGAGCCGCGTCACCGTATTACTGTGTTTCATACACTGTGCTCTACACCCCCACGACCATCCTGTATCTGCCAGGCCCTACTTCTCGCTCCCTTCGCCTTTTTCCTGGGATTCCCTACCCGCCTCCCTTCTGGCAACCACCGGTCTGTTCTCTGTATCTGCGAGTCTGTTTCTCTTTTGCTTGTTGGAACGCCCGTTTCCCACAGCCGAGTCGGAACATCTACAAACGCACCACGGGCGGCGTGCGCGTCCTCAGAGTCCGGCGGACAGTCTTCGGTGTGTCCTGCCACAGCGGACAGCTCGGCCGGGGAGCTCAGACTCCTGTGCGCCAGCTGGAGCCACGTCAGCCTGTTCATGTCACGGTCACCCTTCCCGGGACCTGAGGACCCGCAGCTCCTCAATCTGTGTAGGGAAAAAGTAGATGAATGTCCCGGGCTATTCAACACAGCTGTCTACGTGGTGAGAAACCGGGGAGAGGGGCCTGGGGCACAGACAAGTGACCTTTGGGCCCTTGGGGGTTTGCACGGATCAGTGACAAGAGGGATGCTGGGTTGTCTCTGTCATTAAACCTGTGTCCAGAGACAAGCTCCAGATCGTAGCTCTTGGCAGCCCGTGGAGGCCTGAGTTCAGGTGCTGATGTCTTCAGTAATCCTCAAACGTTCACTTACGCATGCCCTCTCCATTTCTAGCTTTCTCTATTGCTCCCTTAAAAATTATCACCCACCTCCCTTCTGGGGAGGCACCGGGGTACGCGTGCCTGGAAGGGCGGGGCCTCGGCGCACCCAGCGGCCCTGTGCAGTGCGCCAAGTGCCTAGTGCGGCCAGACCTAGAAGCATTCTTTCCCTCAGTTTAATATCCGCACATACCTGGCTGCAGCAGGCGACAAGAGCGTGAAGGCTGAATTGCTTTCCTCGTAACGTCATTGGCCTCTTATAATCTGTACATCTGGGAAAGATGTGTGCCCATCGATGAGGTAACACAACAGACATGATGAATCCCAGATGCTGACCATGGCCGTTTGCCTTGGACGTGAAAGATCACCGCTGGGGATAGATGTATAGATGTTTTATGTGAAGCTGATGGAAAATCAATTGATCAGTTCAAGAAAAGGCCAGAGAAATCTTTTCATTTGAAAATGTGTAGGAAAAAAACCACTGAAATATTTGTACTTTAAAACAAAGGTTAGGTGAAGGGTACCATCTCAACAGTGAAAACAGAAAGAATTCACTAGTAAATTAATATGCATTAATTCATTATCTACCATACATGATTCCACTTTTCTGGACTCTATATAAATATTCAGTTAAACTTCTGGGTAGTGCTGTAATTCTATTTTGCCTTTGTTCATTACAGATATGCCGTTTTTATTTTTTACATTTACTCCCAAGATCTCTTTTTCCCTTTTAGTAAAATGATGCTGGAGGTTTCTGCTGGAGATAAGGAATTAGCGCCCAGTGAGGCGGCTTTTGTAAGCTAATGCTGCCATCTTGTGGTGATTTTAAGAATTGCAGGTAAATATTTACGAACCATAAGCAGATATATATCAGTGCTTAGTTTCATATTATTTAGTTTTGTAGGTTAATGCTGCCACCTTGTAGTGCTCATGAGATATTGCAGAGGTAAATAGAAACTGTAGAATGTCAGCCAGTGCTTATTTTCATGCCATATTTTTTTTTAACTTCACCTGAGGACATGCCTGTTGATTTTAGAGACAGGAAGGGCATGAGAGAAACAACAATCGGTTGCCTCTTATACACGCCCCCAACTGGGGACCAAACCCACAACATAGGCGTGTGCCCTGACCAGCATCAAACCCACAACCTTTCAGTTTAGAGGACAACACTCCAAATTTTGGCAGCTAAAGATGCTGCCTTGTGGAGATACAGAGAAAGGGCACAGGTAAACCTTTTGGAAATATGGGTTCGTCAAAAAGTCCGTTTAGTTTTTTTTCTGAAAACTAAAAGATCCATTTTAAATTTTCACCAGTAATTTTATTGATTTGGATATTTTGAGTATGTCACCTATGTCCCACTATTGGCTTCTGGTGGGTGGAGGCCAGGGGTGCTGCTAACCATCTTCCAATGCATAAGACAGCCCACAGCAAAGAATTATTTGTGCAAAATGTCAATAGTACCAAGAAAACTTGCAAACCACTTTTGACACATTCAATCAGTAACAGCACATTCTCCATACACTGTGCAAATGTTTTTGTGTGTTTCAGGTGCGTTTTTACCTTTCTTGAAACAATAAAGCATAATACACTGAAAATGTGTATTTTCTTCAATCCTCATTAATAAAATGGCTGCACAAAAATTTGCTAATTTGGTAAGATTTTTTAAAGCACATTATGAGCTGTGACAATAAAATCT